GCAGAAAGAATACTAATAGAAGTTGGAGGACGATTCCCCTTGACGTGAATCAATTTTTCACAGGATCCTTAGATCCTATCATTCTGATCCCTTAACTAAGATTTTTTTTGGGTAAAAAACAAAAAAAATCCCATTAATCCTCTTTCATGGGTTGCACTTAATCCCTCCACCTTGTGAATAAACTGCAAAATTAATTGAATATATTTATTGTAATGGTGCATTAATTACATGCGTTAGCTAAGTATATGTTATAAAATAAATAATTTTTTTCTTACATTAAAAAATTAAATTACTAATTTTACCCATCATCTTCCTTTTTCTCTAGGCCTGCAAAGTCATTTTTTGACCCATCAAACAACTTATTTTCTTAAATTTAAGTCCATTTTTTGAACTTATTTTCTTATATTAGCTAGACCCAACCTCCATTTTGAAGCTCTAATAAGTTTTTTTTAATTTTCAAAATTTCAAACTCTAGTGGGTTTCTTCACCATACACACATCTCGGCCATGGCTTCTAAGCACTTCAATACACTGTACTACAACCCCATACTACAACCTAAGCCTCAATTGAGGAAGAAATGGTTGTTTACTATGTAACTCATTTAAAAATTCATAACCACTTTACGCTTCAAACACAAATTTGATCACACACATAGTATGAAACTTAAATCTAATCACACCAATGAAATTCTCATGGAAAAATAAGTCTAATCATGTTGAGTTTATGTATTGTAAGCCTCTGAATCAAAACCTCAAAATTCTTTCTCTTCTCCTTCTTCTACCTCTCTTTCTCTCTCCTTCGTTCTAGCCTTTTCCACAGTTTGCAAGGGAATTTGTTGGGTGTAGTGGTAACAGAGTTGGAGGGGGGTTGTGATGATGAGGTGCGACTATGGTGATAGAAGTGTGCTAATTACAAGCTTTATGTTTTAAAGATAAGGGTTCTATAATGATGGCATCACAAAGAAAATTGGATTACAATCAGGAGGTAGTTTAGTTTTTTTGTATAAACTATTATCTCGGTTAACATTTGTGATTTATTCACAAGTTGTAGGGGATTCAATTTTCAAGTTAGATTTGAGTTTCAGGGGAAGATTTTTATTCCTCTTAATTATCATGCTTTTCACAATATCCTGTGATTAGTTTTACATGATCCCAATTATTAAAGCTTCTTACATGTTAAACGGATTGTACATTTTATACCTAAACTATGTAATGTTGTTCATTTGGTCTTGATAAGTTGGCAATTTCTGTTTGAAAAGATAGCGGACACGTAGGATTGGGGTAATATGAATATGAAATAATTCAAATAGTTAAAGGGGCAATGTAAAAAATTGAGTAGTTTAAGTGACAAAGTAAAATTCAGTTTATAATTTAGGAGACAAAAGTGTAATTTTCCCTTAGGTGTAACTTGGAGGATCCAACCAAAAAAATTCAGTGCTTGAATTGAGTTTTCTATTTGCTTAGACTAAAAATTCTCAACTCGAATTGAATGCGGGTTAGACTTGGGTTGAGACTTCGAATTCACGGTTTTAACCCCACTTGAACCGAATTATTAAAATTGGGTTCAGTCCGAATTTTTATTTAAGCATTAAAAATAATGTTTGTTACTTAAGCATTAAACAAATACATATATAAAGGGTCACACAATAAAATATTATGTGTTATTCACACTCATTAAGAATCTTTTATCGTACTAGAGAGAGTGCAAGTTTCTTAGTTGAACGGATATAAGATGTTGAATAAAGAGCAAAAGAAGATGTATAAATTAAAATCTCACATTGGTTGCGCACGAAAAAAATCTCTCCTTCCTCTTGTATGTAAAGACGACAAACTTCATGTAGCTTGTGTCTTTAATGTGCCTGGTTTTCATTAGGCTTACGTGAGTTCAATGAAAAAGTTAAATGTGTTAACATATATAGAAACTCAAATCTAACTTGAAAATTGAATTCAATTTAATAACTTGGGCACAACCCAAATTCAACCCAAGTCCGAGCAGCGTAGTACCCAGGTTAAGATATTTCAAGTTAAAGTGGAGTTTGGGTTGGACTCGGAGAATTTTTTAACTTGAATTGGGCTTGAGTTGACCTTTTAACCCATCTAAAGTGTAGCCCTAACTATTCTTGTATACTTTGAATCATTCCACTAAATGAATAACAGACAAGGAAGAACATATATATAATTTTTTTTTTTGGAAGGGGAAGGGGAAGGAGGATGGGAACTTGAATCCTTGACCTCAAGGCGAAACCTTTACAAGATAAAGAGTATCATTGGATTAAAGATCCAATGGTAGGAAAGACATATATAAATATGGATGCGCATTGAACAATTAATTTTGATCATCATTTGACAATTGGACTTGGATACGTGATAAGTTGCACTTGCTGAAAAAAATTATTTAGAATGAATCTACTATGACCAAGCAAATAAAGGTTCAAGACTATAAGTTGGTTGAGTAAATTTTGGCTCTAACCAATCAGGTAGCTAGGCTATCCCAACTGAGCTAAAGTAGGTCCAACTGAGTAGAGGATAAGATTTAACCGAGCAAATAGTTAGGCTACCCCGATCGAGCTAAAGTTGGTCTGATCGAGCATAAGATAAGATCCGACTAAGCAAGTAGCTAGGCTATCCTGGGCGAGCAAAAATTGGTTCAACCGAGCATATGGTTAGACAATCCTGAAAAATCATAAGCGATACTAGGCAGAAAATAAAGAAATTGTCGAAATCATAGATAGGGTTGTTCACAGTTCTAATTACTCGCAAATTTCGACCTTACTCTACCCTACCCGATTTTATTGATTGGCTACTCGAAAGAATCAGGTAGGCCAATAGAAGATTTTTTGGTATTTTGTAAATCAAAAAACCTACAAAATTTTTTGATGCGCGAGCGAATAAGGTAGGGTAGAAATGTAGAATACCTACAAAATTTTTGTATTCCTACTCTACTCTCCTTAAAAATTAAAATCCAAAAATCTAGAAACATTAATGTTTTATTGATATTTATGCTTTCTTATATATGATGTATTAATGTTTATACCTTTCTTGTTGTGTTTTATTATAATTTTTTATGTATTATCGAATTTTTTGTGTTTTTTTAGTGTTATCGGTTTATTGGGTTTGTTTATTGATGCAAGTTACTTAATTAAATTATTAAAATGATTAAAAATTAATAATTAAAAAATATGTGTTCACTCGACTTCATATTCAATTGTTTTGGATGGAATTTGGATAGAAATAGTACAAATAATCGGATAGGGTAGGCGAAGAAAAAAAATTGTAAAGTATCGAGTAAGAAGATAAAATGCCATAATTTCTACCTGTAGGATAGAGTGAACACTCCTAATCATAGAAACACATAATTAACATGTGGCCTAAATCGACTAAGGAGAATGGAAACCATGTAAGGTTTAAACACAAATTAAGAAAGGTATGATTGGAATCTAGGTGTGCCTCCATATTCCAACCAGGACTGGATTGTAGTCCTAAATAATCGAGAGCAAGCTCCCTATAAATATCAGTAAAACTTAAGTTTAAGGTACACACACTCTCTCTAGTAAACTAAATACACTTTCTCGTGTCCTTACTGACTTAAACATCAAAGTGTCTTTGGCTGGGACCCCACTAGTCTGTGATAGTTCGTTTGTTTTGCTGGTTAGGGGTGATCCCAAGTATTCATTCTAGACAACTATTTGTATTCTGATAGGTGCAAATTTTTTCCCTTACACGTATAATAATAACTCAAAATTTTAAAAATAACTTAGTTATATAAAATTATTAATTAATAAAAATTGGAGTCAGAGTCATAGTAATTTGGAAAGGATTTTAAACTCCGACTACGGCTACGACTCTTGCTCAAATCGAAGTCTGAGTTCTTCCTTTGAATCGAAGTCGGAGTCGGAGTCAGAGGCCGATTTTCAAAGTCTTGCACACGCTTAAAATAAGTAATAATTATAGGTGGGCATCCATCAATACACGGATGAGTGATCAATGTAGAAACATTCAAGAATCAAGGACTTGAGTACTGTATCGGAATTTTTTTTTTTATAAAGTATTTCAGAATTTTATTATATTAATGGGTGTTTTTATAATTTTTGGGGTCATTTTATAACAATTTTTTTTTTTTTATCATTTTTTATGGATAATTTATCACTAATGTGGGAATTTGACTACTTTTCTAGTAACCATTTTTGCCACTTTTTTCCGGTACAAAAAAAAATTATAAATTTTATGGTAAGTATTTTTATCACATTTTCTACGGTACTAAAATAATAATAAAAAATACCCACAGCAGTGATAGTGATAAAAATGTTACAAAAATAGTAAATGTTAGTACGATACCCTTTTTTTTTTGGGTGCTGTAGTGAAGATATCAAAAATTACAAAGTTTTAAAGTCTTCGTTATTTTTTTTGGTGGTCTATGTTACAACTGAAAAAATATTCGAAAATATTTTTAGACCTTAAATCTCTAAAAAGTGATGTTACAACTAATTAAGGTTGCTAATGATCGATCAAAATATTTATAATTAATGATAAATAGTTATAATTTATCCTTTGTTCGATGCAACTTAATTTCTAAAAATAATATTTTGTGGTACAATACTGATTTTTTTTTTTTTGGGCTAACGTTTCTTGAAAAGGGAAACGTATTAGGGTAGACTTCATAATTAGTCTCTGAATTTTGATTTTGATTTTGATTTTAATTTGGTCTCTGAATTTTCAATTATCTCAATTTAATTTCTCTAACTATCAATTTCGTCTTAGTTAAGTCATTTTGTCAACTTTTACTGTTAGATCAATTGAAAATACATGATCTAAAGATGGAAATTGATCAGATAGGACTAGTATCCATTTGATCTAATGGTAAAAATAAATGGAATGACTTAATTAAAACAAAATTTATAATTGATGAATTCAATTGAGAGAATTGAAAGTTTAAAAACTAAATCAATACCGAAAGCAAAATTCAGGGGCTAATTATGAATTTTTATCCAATAGCTGAATTACCTGGGTCAACTTCAGTGCTAACAAGCTGAAGTACAACACTTCTGTCCACAGCATTCTTGAAAGAATCAAACCAGTTTAGCATCAAGTCCTTCATGCCTAGCTTTTTACTGTTCTTCACTGTCACAAGAGCTGTTACTTCAAACATGGCAATGGACTTTTCTTCTTCATGAACTGCCATGGGTACTGCTCTCACCATCTTCCTCAGTTGTACCTCTTTCCTCCCATGAGGAGAGAGGAAAAAAGGAGAAGAAGAAGGACAAGGGAGGAAAAAAGGAGAAGAAGAAGAACAAGGGAGTAACTTGTTCTTTTGCTGAACATTTGGAGTGAGTGAACTTAAACTATACCTATTCAGCATGAATGAAGCACCCAATATCTCCTTTGTTACCTCCATTAAAGCACCTCTGTAGATACTATGACTCACCATTTGAAGGTTGTTGAGTTGGTGAGTATTTATACCAAGAGAGAATTGAACCTACAGAAAACAACTTCGATATAGACTTTTAATAGTGAAATAACACGTTTCTAGTATGTCTAATAGTTACTATTTGTCCGGACTTTCACGTGGACCCTCTTGTCTCTTTACATTTTCACCCCGGTACAAAACAAAGTTCCCTAAGACATATAAGGGTATATTTTTTTATAAATAAAATATATTCAAATTGCAATATTTACCATGCATCCCTCTCCGACAGTGGCCCAGGAGAGGGATGTGGAGAGTATTCTCCGCCCTTGTGAATTTTAATTTGAAAATTTTAAATTGACACTTGTAAACTTGAGATTTCAAATATATGAAGTTTGAATTCGAGATTTAGCATTAGGGCTCGAATTTGGTTTGAGCTCGGCTCAAGTTTGTGGCAAGTCAAACTTGAACCAAAAAGTAGGCTAGATGTCCGAGTCGAGTAGAGGTGGAACACCCTTTAAATAATTCGACCCTTTCTTGAACATACCAAAGCTTGAAAGACTCGATTCAATTAAGACTCTTAATTACAACAAATCGATTATTTTCAAATAATGGATACATGCATGTGGCATATTAAGGGAACATCTACGTTACCGAAAAATAAATTTTGGTACCGTACCAAAAGTTACTATTTTTAATATTAAAGTTACACCTTTGAAATATGAAATTACAACTAGTTACTAGTTATATCTTTTCTCTTGCAAGTTATTACTTGACTTTTAAAATTTGTAACTTAACATTTGAAAATTGTAACTTCTATGATCGATCACAATGTTTTATGATTGATCATGTCTTTATAAGTTCTAACTTATACCTCAAAAAAAATTAATTTGGCTATAAAAAGTTATAATTTTTGGTAGGTATCACCGTCTTTCCCTTATATTAANAGTGTTTTATGATTGATCATGTCTTTATAAGTTCTAACTTATACCTCAAAAAAAATTAACTTGGCTATAAAAAGTTATAATTTTTGGTAGGTATCACCGTCTTTCCCTTATATTAAACATTTATCTTAAACTATTAATTATAACTGATGTAACTTAAATATTTATATTTCAACGCAACAGAAGACAAAAGAATCATAGTTAGGGTGAAGAAAAGCTCAAAAAACTGCATGATAAACCTTCCAAAGAGAAGAACGTAAGAAAGAAATCAAACTTTATAATAATTGATCTGTTATTGGCACATATTGTTTAGAGACGAAACTATATGGAGACTAGGGGGGCCATGGCCCCCTCATATTTTCAAAATTACCTATACTTTCTTAAGTATTTGAAAATCCTGTCTCTTTTTTATATGTTAAAAAAATGTTTATCTACAGTAAAAAATATTTTTTAGTATATTCAAAGACTTTAATGACCTAACTTTGATAACCAAATGGAAGATATTAATCGAACGAGTACTTTTTTTATCGACGAAGAAGAATACTTAGGTGAGCTTGATGACCCCCCCCCCCAAAAAAAAAAGTACTACAAAATTATCAAAGGAACAATTAATCATGTTATTGTCTCAAATTACCGTCACATACGAATTAATTTTTGAATTCTATGACCTAAACTTATCATATAAAACTGATTTTGATAGGTTAAGTGTGGCATTAATAGTAATTTGTTGTGTGATTCCATTTAATATAATTTTAAACACTGCACTTTTTTTGATTGAGTCTTATTGGCTCCCCCCCTTGTGACAAAATCTTGATTCCGTCCCTGTTTTCAGAGAATCAAGATGACAACTCAACTAAGTCCCAGTCGATTTAGTACGTCTTATATTTGTTATAAAAATACTTTTTAGACTTAATTTATTAATTTTATTTGTTGACTTAATAGATTATAATAATTGAATTGGTAACGAGTTCCAGCCAATAGTAGAGTCTACTATTAATTCAATGACTGAGAAAAATTAAGTCAACAAATTAGCTCTAAGCTGCATTGCTCTATTTCTTAACCATAAATGCACACAATATGTAATAACCGCCCAATGAATAATAGGTTAGTCATTTACCTTGTGGTACAATTTTCCCTTCTTGTTCTCTCTCTCTCCCTTCAACATCAAGAACTCTCTCTCTTTCTGATCTATTGTTAAAGTACCCCCAAAATTGAAACTTATTTATCAATGTGCAACCGTTTTGAATTTATTTACTAAATTACTGTTGTTTTAAAAGTGGAAGTACGAAATTTGACTTTATTAGAGAAAGCGGATGTACCAATTACAATTTTATTTAAAAGCGAACTTACCAATTCCACTTTCAATTGAACACATATGTACCAGGCCCGCTTTTAACAATGAAAAACTGTAACTATTTTCCACAGAAGGCGGTTGTACCGAATCCGCTTTCAATAGAAAGCGGTTTTGGCCAATTCCGCTTTCATTAGAAAGCGGGCTTACCAAATACGCTTTCTAATGAAAGCGGTCGTAAAAAATATGCTTTGTAATATAAATGTTTGTAATAGTACCAGCAGTTGAGTACCGTATCAAAAAATAAATTATGATGTTATACTTATTTTTAATATAAAAAAATAATAAAACTAATTAGCACAAAATTAATAAAGAAAAATAATAATTTTTTTATAACATAAATAGTAAAAATAGTTATATCAATATTGATAAAAATATCCATAAATGTAATAGACTCGGCCACTAAAATAATAAATTTTGTAGTTATATAAAAGGACATATAAATTTATAAAAATATTTATTAAAATAATGAATTGTTAAGATATAATAGTATTTTATTTTGTTGTTGTTGATACTGTAGACAAATCCATATTGTCATATCATTTTGTACTTAGAACATTATGTTGTAAAATTGAAATATCAATTCCGACTTCATATTGAAAGTATATTTATCAAACTCGATTTTAAAGACTAATATTTAAAATTAAAGCTAATTTGTTAAACCCGTTTTTATTAGAAATCGGACATCGTTCCATCTGATCATTCTCATGAGCCAATGTTGCAATGATATCATTATAGTTATTTGTGTACCATTCCACATACATTTTCAGCTGAACGTGCTTGTGGCACTCATAATCTATGCCAATAACAATATACTTCAAACTCACAATGCTTAAAATAAGATTTCAACCAACTTGATCCCTGTAGGTGGTAATAAAACTCTAAAGGCAGAACAAAAGTTTCATGCCCAATCATTACATGACCGACTTCGGTGAAAGGGTTATGAATGTTGATTGACTCATTCTTAAAAGAATGTAAATTTTCATACCATGTAACTCCATGGGGATTTGTGTAATTACCGGGTTCTGGTGAGCTGAATGAAGAAATTGTTTCATGGTGACAGTGGTTGGTCGAGAATGAGTCATCATTAGGTTGGCTTGAAGACCCATTTGGTGATGTTGTTGATATTATAGTGTACGTATGAGTTACACTTTAGATAAGTAGTTGTATTTAAACAGGAACATAAATTATTGTAATATTACATTCAATGAATTGAGTAATAAAATATTGCTGGGAGGATATAGGTACGAATGAACGATGATAGCGACTAGACACTGCTAGAGTGTTGTAATAAAATAGACGTTGATGACATAACATTGACAAATTTGTACAAATTGTATTGTTTTAAATTAATACCGACAATTTAACACTGATAGTAACGTGATGCGTGCAGTGATGCGACAAAAATAAGTATCGTAAGAGATGTCAAATCAATTGTGATGTAGGAGTTGTCAAATCAAAATATTGTTTTTAAATTAATCATAAACTCTGTCTAATTGAACAATAATTACCATGGTTTTTTGATGGCAACATAAACCTGATTGTAAAGTTGTGTTCGGAAGAAATTCATAATGTAAACATCAACTATTTGAACTCTTTTGAGGGCTTATAATATTTACTTCCTTGTCAAGAGAAAAAGATGTGTTTATAAAAATATCCAACTTGTATGATTGACTCAAAAAATGTCTAAAATTTTTTAATAATGTTATTTGGGCTTAATTTGTTAAAATAATTTTCTAATCTAATTCATTATAATTATTAGATTGGTTGTGAGTTCCAATAAATACTGGAGTTCACTGTCAATCAAATAATTATAAATAATTAAGTCAACAAATTAAATTCAAATGACATTGCTCATAACTTTTAGCAATTTTTTGTCATTATTTGGCAGATTATTTATTTGACATGGAATATTTCAATGATTGTAGTAGTGAGTTTTTTTTTTAAGAAAAGTGATGATGTATTTTAATAGCACCAATCTCAGAAAAAAGCACTTTTTTTAAAATGGAGCTGATTTTTTTTCCCTTATGATTTGAGATTGGTCATAGTGCTGTTAAGTTATATAGGGCCTATTTGAGGCTGGCTGAAAACATCAGTATTTTTTTTATTTTAGAGAATAGTAAGTCTGGTCTATTTGGATCCGAATTTATTGGGCAGCTTTTCGGTCAATTTTTTTTGGCACAAATAACTTTTATCAGCATTAAGAAAAAAATTGAAAAATGGGGTTTATCCAAAAGTTTCTAAAGAAAAGTCAACTCTCCCGGAAATATTCCAAACGGTTCAAAGAGTTTTTTTTACTCTAATTTTTTTATTTCACTTTTCAAACCTCTACTTTACACCCAAAAAAACCCAACTTTAAACGGATGCATAATTGTATTAACACCAAGAGGTTTCTTCCTCTAAATTCAATTTTTCTTCCTCTTAAAGTTTTGTCTCTAAATGGCATTGCTATTTCTCCCTTTCTTGTGTGTGTGTGTGTAATATGAGATTGTATCCTATTGAAAATTCCAAAGAAGCCTATAAAACCCATATATTCCATAGTAATCCGAAATCTTCAAAACTTTGAAAATGGCCCCAGAGTTTTCCGAAACTACAAGTTATAGATGACACAGTTTGAGTGTTGAGAGTTTTGTGGTGGACAGAAATCCAAGTTTTCAGGTCGAATTTATAAATTTTGGTGGGGATTTAACTATTAA